TATTATTGTCTATATTAATAAGCTGTGGAGAATGAGGAGCTTTAAAAAAAGTTTTTTTTCATGCATCAATTATTTTCTTTCTATGGAGCATACGGATTTGGATGAGAGGAGGCTCCCTCATCCACCGATTTTGGTTAGATGGAGGCCACCTCCTATGGGGTTTATTAAGTTTAACACGGATGGGAGTTGGAAGGCCAACAGTTCTGGTTGTGGGGGAATTGCTAGAAACTATGCAGAGATCTGTATTCTTTTCTTCTCATCTCCTTCATATGCTGATACTCCCATAGAGGCTGAGGGTAGGGTCATTTTAACGGCTGCTGTTATGTCTCACGCTCTCAACTGGCATTTTATTATTTTTAAATGTGATAATCGCATCTTGATTGATATTTTGGCAAATGGTGTCGATGCCTCTTAGGATATCCTTTATTATATAAAGAAGAGTAAAGGTTTAATCTCCAATATGAATGTCATGTGGAGTTTCAATTACCGGGAGGGGAACCAACCTGCTAATTGGCTTGTTAATTTAGGTAGCTCCACTGATATTTGTAGGGTGGGATATATCCCTCCTCTTTACACACTCTGTTGGTTGGTGACAACATCGATGCTCCTTATATTCGTAGGGATGGTTCCTCTTAACTTATTTTCTTTTGCTGGGTGGTTTGTTTCGGCTCAGGCTCTTCTTTGGGTTGTTTTTATTCCTTTTTATTTATCTCTGGGTGCTTTGGTTGCTTGTTTTTCTATGGAGCAGGCGGCATCTATTTATGCTCCATATGGTGGATGGTTTTATAATACTAGCATGGAGGCCCATGGCTCCATTGCCTCATATGAGATGAATAACTTGGGAGGCCCAGGGCTCCTTACTTTAGCTACGGTTGGGCAGGTTGACTCTAATACACTTTGGTGGCGTTGCAGATGGGAATACTAGTGAGATTGAATATTGGAGGTTAAACTGGGAATACTGGTGAGATTGGATATTGGAGGTTAACCTCACTGCTCCAGCTCTACCTTTTTTTCTGTGAATGGGCTTGTTATTTTCGACATGGAGGCTCATGGCTTCAAATTTATACGAGGCTTTCACTCTTTCTTTTGGACTGGACCGTGACTCCTTATTTGTTATATGCATTTCTGGAAGGAGATTGGAAGATTGTGGAGTATTATCTATCTTTATTGCTCACTTGTTTTCTTGCTTGTTTGGTGTTTTCACAGTTTTTGAGCTGCAGGTTTTCAATTTTGGGACTTGATCTTTGGTGATATAGGTTTTAAATTTTCCTATTTTATGTCTTTTCTTTTATCTCTGGGTAATTATTAGGAGTTGAATAAATATAATCTTGAAGAAAAAAGTACTATTTATTTCCTATTTTAGGATTCATGTAAGCTATATTTATACAGTCCTTTCGTATCAATAAAGTATTTCGCTAATTCTCCAAATCGATATGGTATTAGAGTCTTGAAACAAGCCTTAGAGTCTCTGGCGAAGAACAAGACCTCCTACCGCAAGAAACTTCTTATTCCTCGCAGCCGACAAACTCTATCTCTGCAGACTCTGGGAGCAGGAACTCCTCTCCCTGCAAGTTTTAGTGCAGAAACTCCCTCCTACAGGAACTAGCCGCCGAAACTCTCTCCCCTCAGGTCTCTAGCCATTGGAACTCCTCTACCTACAGGCTCTAGCCGCTGGAACTACTACTGTAACTCTCTCCCTATAGGTCCCTAGCAATCAGAGCTCCTCTCCCTGCAATCCTCTAGTTGTTAGAACTCCACCCTGCAGCCGATTTTTTTTTACAGCGGGCCCTCCTCTGGCCGGAGTTTTCATTACAGTCCTTGATTGCAGTTTCTCTACACCACTCTTTCTCTGCGATCAACTGCCACCAGGATTTTTTCCTTCCACAAGAGATCTTCTTTCTGCAAGCCTTGTTCCCAATAAGTATTTCTTTTGCCAACAAACAACCATGAGAAGTCCTCTGCAATTCAAAAGCAACAAGTTCTTTTTTTTTTCTCGTGAGAACCTCTTCTTCATGGCCTCTTGAGCCTAAGCCCAAACCACTTTGATGGGAGTGAAAAGGAAACTGCTTGCAATTCCACCGGCAACAATGCCCCAAGGAACCAGCTAGCAACCAAGGTGGCCAGGAAGTCAGCTGCTGTGACCGGTAGGGTGCTAAAACCCTACCGTTTCCATCCCTAAGCAGTTGGGCTGAGGGAGATCAGGACGTCCCTGAAGAGCTCGGGGCTCCTAGTTCGTAAGCTTCCCTTCCAACATCTAGTCCGCAAAATTGAGCAGGATTTCAAGAACGACCTCTGATTCTAGAGTTCCGTCGTTGTTGCGCTTCAAGAGGCTGTGGAGACTTGTCGGTCTCATTGAAGACACAAATCTTTGTCGAAGGATATTCCTCTTGCTTGTCAGATCTATGTCCCTCCTTGGCAAATGCAGGGATCGACTTCTTCCATGCCTCGACGTCCAATCCTCTCATTTAGCTCCATTGGAGTCATGGCTGACTACTCCACCTCCGAGCTTTTGTCCGACGTTGTTCTTGCTTCCATCGGAGATTCGAAATCTATCTCAATCCCTTCGCAAACTAGATAACCTTAACACCACAAACTCTGCAAAAAAACAAGCAAATAATTCTTCGGCCAAATCTTCCACTGTTAAAGGTCTCGCTACGGCCTCGTAATCCACAACATTTCAGCCAACCTCTACTCGGACTATTCCCGACTCAATGGGCCGTATTGAGAGTCAGGAGGAATAAGCTGCTTAGTTCTAGTAGGTTCTCCAGAGCAACAATCTCTAATATCCGTCAAGGAATTCATTGATGATTTATTTATTTGTTTTGTCCCTTTCTTTTTTCCCAAGATATTGGCATTGATGACGCCTTCCTCTGTTCTCATTTGTCGTATTAGTCTTATTTTTTCCTGCAACAAACCCTCCTAAGCTTTTTCCTACAACAATCTCTCCTCTAGAGCATTTTCCTACAGTAGACCTCCTTCAGAGCCTTTTCCTACATCAATCCCTCCTCCAGAGTTTTTTCCTTGCAGGTTATACCCTACAGCTTCCCTGTAGCTTGTCCACTTCCCTGCAATTTTACAGAACATTACATGTAACATCCTTCCGCGAACCTACAGAAACTACAGTAAAAGACAATTACAATCAACAATCCCTAAATGCTCTTGGGAATTAAGAGTTCAAGTTCTACCTCACAAAGCATCTTCCGTCCATTATTTGATTATTTTAAATCCAAGATGAATATGATTGATATTTATGTTTCAACTTGAGAGGAAGTGTTAGAAGTTATTAGGATTGATTTATTTCTTTCTTTCTTATTTCATATTTAATGTACATCGTATTTTATGTGTTTTCTTTTATCTTTGGGTAGTTATTAGAAATTGATTAATTTTAAATATTGGAGATATAGGTGTTATGTTTTACCTATTTTATAATATTTCTTTTATGTTCGGGTAGTTAATAGGAATTGATTAATTGAAATCTAGGATATATAGGTGTTATGTTTTTCCTATTTTATATCTTTCCTTTTATCTCCGGGTAGTTATTAAAAATTGATTAATTGTAGTCTTTGAGATATAGGTATTTTGTCTTTCCTATTTCAGGATTCATGAAAAATATATTTATACCCCCTTTCATATCAATAAAGTATTCCGCTAAATTCTCAAAAACCTACAATAAAATAATAATAATAATAATAATAGAAATTTTTTAAATGTTGCACAACACTGCTTATACTTCAGTTTTCAATTTGAAATGAGAATTTAATAACTATATTATTATCCAAGAATTATGATCATTATTACTAGTGAGGTTGGCTTTGCCTAAAACTATTTTTAAGTGCTTTATGTGGTTTTAACTTTAGTTCAAGTTAAATACTTACCGAAACTTCCAGAAAAAATCTCACTGATCTAAATAGTGTTTCAAGGGTATCATCACCAATTAAAGATAGATGATTTCAACAAGGTTCAACAATGTTCAACCTACTCAAACATTTTCATATCAAAAGTGAAAATAATTGAATTAGTTTCAAATAAAGGTTCCTAAAAAGGTCAACAAGGTTTTAACAACATTTGAACTTCGTTCAAACCTGATTCAAAAATATTAGAACAAGGTTTCATTATTGTTAAAATCATCAAGTTTAAACCATATTCAAATATAGTTAAGACATAACGCGAACATCTTCGGATTATGCTCTTTCAACTGTTTATCAAACATTATTTAAACCTATACCGCAACCCTCTATCCAGCTTCAAGTTCATCTTATTATCAAAAATGATCTCAATCTTAATTTTTACAAATATATTATTCCTCATAACTAAGATGAATCATAAAAAATATTAAAGAATTCACTTCAATCAATGCCCATAACATCATCTAAATGTAAAAAATACTTGCAACAAGATGCCGAAGCGCGATGATAATATTGCATCTGATTCAACTATAAAATCACCATTATATTAGTTTGTATAAGAAAAAATCTCATGAAAAAGAGCATAAACACAATAATTGCAGAAGGAAATATAAAGTCGTAACTGGGCAAGTTGGTTGCAGTGTTATTGTACTATCAAGTACAAATTTCTTTTTTTTTTTTTTTTTTTTTTTTTTGTAAAGGAGAAACTACACTCGTATCTTAGGAAATAAAGAAAATTAAGAAATATCAACTGAAGATCTACAAATTTTAGATCAAAGTAATCTTAGGAAACAAGTTAATTGAGAATTTAAACAGGATAAACGTACTTGTTTCTCTAATGAGAAGATAGCCACATGAAATAGAACCTAAGGAGCAACTTATTAGAATGCTTTAATAAATAGAATCCAGAACATTACGTCAAAATTGAATATTCTATATGTATAAAATGATAATGTATGACAAGCAAAAGCCAACCCACATAAATAAAGAAGTCTTCCATAGAAATCAGCATATTAACAGCCATACAAATGTAACAGCATATCACATTTACTCTTATAAAAGGTAATCTTTGAAAAGATAAGCATGAAATCATACCTGAAATGTCGGTAAGGGCAACCATGATAATCACCAACAGTCGGAGTAGTAGAAATTATCTTTTGACAGGAGTACGGTGTATAATCCTGAGTCAAGCAAGCAGCAACATTTGTACCCATATGCACACATAAATCAAGCTGTATTCCAGTAGGCAATAACACGAGACTCACCGTCCTCTTTCCTTCTTTTCCATAGTTATGACGTACTGAGTATGCATACTCTTTGTCAAATCGCTCACTTCCAACCTAAGCAAACAACAAAAATATTGTGACTATTTTGTGTTGAATACCAATGGAGGGTATTTCCAAAGCCTAATAAATATGGATAAAAGCAACCGGAACAGAAATTACAAAAAACTAGCGAGTAAGGTAATTAACAGGGTAAATGAAATTACCCTCGATCATTTTAGAAAACCATTTGAGGCCAACATAGAAATAAACAATAAAACTTAGCAAGATAACTACAACTGACGATTTCACTAATAAACTCCATTAACTAGTTCTTTATCTATAAATCAAATTAGGAGCAGCCCCATGTGAAAATTCGCCCACCAAATAATAAAGATCTCATCATCTAGTACCCAAAATTATAAGCATTCCCACTCAATCATTTCAGCATTCTTGATCTCATTTTTCAACTTCAACTCTGAAGCCTTCCCTTCCATCCATTCAAATAAAAATACTTTACTAAAAAATAAAAGAAGCTAAATAAATACGGCAATCCCTATCCTCATAAATACCAAATCCACTAGGAGAAATTAGTCTATCCACCTCCTTATCATTAACCAAGAAATAGGAATGCAACAAATTTTTATGCATACCAATGTTTGTCTTGATTGAAATCAAAGAGTACCGGCACTGGAAAATAACAAATATTATCTGTAAAGGAGTACAGGTCAACAAACCTAAAAGAATTAACAATGTTTTTAACCAAGACACCCGATGGTTTGGCAATTCAGAAAGCAAAAGTAGGAAAAAAACTAAATAAAAGAAATAAAAAAACCAATAACATTACTTTTCTATTGAAGTCTTCATTAGTTCCTTTGCTCCAAATCTTAATGATTAACTATGAATCACAATAAATCAGTTCTCTATCATTCTTTTCTTTAATTATTATTTTACAGTTGTGTTCAAAAGAGTTTGAAATCAAGATATTCTGAAAATTCAGAAAAGTGTTAGAGATCAAAATAATTTGTAAATTCAAAAAAGTAGCGATTAATATTATATTAAAGAGGCTGTGTTAAACATAAATAGAATGCATTCATCAGGTTAACCAGAATCTCTAGGCAAGAGATTCTTGATAAAGTTGACCGTATAATTGGCCAAACTGCGATAGGCCAAATAGCATATATACTGAAGTAAAGCTATAAAAATAAAGCATACTCAAAATGTAAGCATAAAAAGTCAAATAAATTATAAATTGAAAATGGAACGTAGGAGGAAACACAGAACAGACAAAATGCAATGTGGAGAGTAGAATGAGAGGGTAAAGATAAGAGTCGGGCAAAAATGTGGGAGGAATAAATACGGTAAAGGCAATTACATTAAAGAATGGAAACAACTGTTAAAGACGCTAGTATGATAGGGTGCAAACAAATCATCAGAACTTAAGGAAAAATACTACAACCAGGAAGTGAAGCAAAAAAAAAAAATCAGGCAGAAATTGTCTTGGAAACACAGTGCCTGGCCACTATTATGGTACCATTTCCTCTCGAACTTACAGATAAATCAATCATTATCATAGTTACCAATCCAGTTGCAACTCGTCTACAATAGCATAAGGAAAAGGGAAAAGAAAAATCTACCACAAAGATTAATCCTTGAATGTAATCTCCCACATTTAAACAAAACAAAATATAAAAAATGTACAATAAGCTTTAAGAAAGAAACAACGATCTGTCTAAGAAAACTTAAATAGCTTTGTGACACAGATTGGGCTACAAAATATCAATTAAAATCAAAATCAAGAACCACAGATGTAGCGAGGACTTTACATCCACCTAATAAAAAGCATTCAACAACAACAAACAGTTATCCAACTAAGTGTGGTCGGCTACATGAATCCTTTTTCTCCATTGTCCTATTGAGTGTCATATTTTCATTTAATTTTAATAAATTAAGATCATTTTTTATACAATATATCCAAGTCTTTCTAGGTCTACCTCTGCCTTTGTTAATATAGGTTTAATAAAAAACATCTACCGTCCTAATCGGATCATCACATGGTCGACGTTTAATGTGACCAAACCATCTAAGACGACTCTCCAATTTTGTATGCCACTGGAGCTATAACCCTATCATGGATATAATCATTTCGCATTTTTCCTCCAAGTGTAAAGCCACTCACCCACGTTAGCATTCTCATCTTGGCAACACTGAACTTAGTTTTATGGTTCTCTCTTAAAGGCCAACATTAGCCAACATTCTGCACCATAGAGCATTGCAGGTCTCACCACCATCTTATAAAATTTTCCCTTCAGTCAAAGTGGTACTTTTCTATCACACAATAGACCTGAAGCATTCCTCCACTTCAACCAACGAACTTGAAATCTACTAATAACATCCCCATCTATATCACCATCACTTTGTACAATATACTCAAGATATCTAAAGCATTCACACCTTTTAATAATTTGATCACCCATAGTTACAACTCTATCACTAGAGCTACTACTACTAAAATTACATTCCATGTATTCAATTTTAGCTCTACTCAAACGAAGGCCTTTAAACTCCAATGTAGACCACCATCATTCAAGTTTCTCTTGAGCTTTTTCTCTATTCTTGTCCACAAGCAGAATACCATCAACAAAAGCATACACCAAGGTACATCCTCCTGTAAACCTCCAGTACGAGCATCCATAACTAAAGCAAAAAGATATGGGCTTAAAGTCGAACCCTGATATAATCCAACTGAAATAGGAAAATATTTGTCCAATCTTCCTTCTGTTCGAACACAAGTAATAGCTTTAGTATACAACTCTTTAAGGACTTGAATGAATGTCATATCAACACCTTTCTTCTCTAGAACTCTCCAAATGATATTTCATGGAACCTTATCATAAACTTTCTCTGAATCAATAAAAATCATATTTAGACCTCCTTATTCTATCTGAACTTCTCCATCAAACCACTCAATATGTGTAGCTTCCATGGTAGACCTGCCAGACATAAATCCAAATTGATTATAAGAAATCTTTATAATACGTTTTATCCTATGTTCAATTGTCCTCTCCCATAATTTTAAAGTATGATACATCAACTTAGTTCATCTATAATTTGCATACTCTTATGCATCCCCTTTATTCTTAAAAATAGGGACAAAAATACTCTTCCTCCACTCCTCAAGCATCTTTTTAGTTTTTAAAATAATATTAAAGAGTTTAGTAAACCAAAATACTCCCAAATCTCCTATATATTTCCACACTTCAATTGGGATATCATCAAGTCCTGCAGACTTTCCACCATTTGTTTTCTTTAAAGCCTTCTCAACTTATTTTTTACTAATGCGATGGTAAAAATAAAATATTTTATTATTATTAATGATATTAAGATCACTAAGGTAAATCATATTTTCAAAAACTTCATTAAAAAATTTATCAAAATAACTCACGCGTATTTTGAATATCTTTTTCTAAGAAAAGTACTGTTTGATTTTCATCTTTAATACACTTGAGCTTAATATTTACTTTTTTTTTTCTCTTTATTTGGTTGGTTTATACATATTAGCATCTAATCTATTATAAAAATCACTAAAAACATATTTTTTAGAGTCACAGATTGTTCTCTTAGACTCCCTACGAATGATTTTATATTTTTCTCAGTTCTCTAAGCTTTTACATTTATATTAATTTTTACAACATAACTTCTTATATTTTATCTTTTCTTGGACATTATTATTCCACCACCAACTGTTATTATTTATAGAAATTTTCCCTTTTAATTCTCTAAGTACATATTTTGTCACGTGTTTAATAGTATTTGTTATTTTATCTCATATATAATTTGCTTCTTTATGAACATCCCAAATCTTAATGTTTACTCATAAAAATAATTTTATTTGTGTCTTTTAGATGCCCCTATTTAATTCTACAACAATGATTCCTATTATTTTTTATTTTGCAACTCTTCATCTTAAAATTTAGAGTTAATAATCGATGTTGAGTACTTAAATCCTCACTTTGAATGACCTTACAATCTTTACATTCTCGGCGATCTCTTCTTCTCATAAGAAAATAATCAATTTTTGTTTTATTAGAATCATTTTTATAAGTAATAATGTGCTCATCTCTTTTCTTGAATAAAGTATAAGCAATAACAAAATCATACATTAAAGCAAAATTTAATATGTCTCTACTATTTTCATTAATTGCTCCAAAACCGTAGCCACCATGAAAATTTCTAAAATCTTCAACCACTCTACTGGCATATCTATTTAAATCTTCTCCAATAAAAATTCTTTCTTCAAGAGATATCATTTATATTAAGTTTTCAAAGTTATTCCAGAATTTTTCTTTAGAACCAATATCTAAACCTACTTAAGGAGCATAAATACTTATAATATTAAAAATCTTAGTACCAACAATAATCTTAAGAGCTATAATTTTATCTCCAATTATATCAATTTTTACAACATTATCTTTTCAAACTCTTTATCAATAATTACACCTTCACCATTTCTAGTGCGACCCTTACCTATATACCAAAATTTAAAACCTAAGTTATCATTCTTCTTAGTCTTTTCTACAACCCATTTAGTTTATTGAATATATAAGATATTAAATTTCTATAAATCATAATATCAACTAATTTCATTAAATTACCTGTGAGAGTACCAACCAAGAAGTATTAAAACATCAAATACATAATGCTAATTGTCAAACTTCCAATTAAACATTATTGATGCTAAAATATCATTAACTGAGTTAGTCCATATGTAGAAAGAAGAAATGTTTCAACCAAAAAAAAAACATACAGAAAATCAAGCTAATGGCATACCTTTACCCTAAAAACAGAATGACATCTACAGCTTCTGAAAAAATATCATAACCAGTAGCCTTATCCTAATTACTGAGGGTCTATTTTACGAAAATACACCTAAATTAAGCAACCTATAACCAATGAAAAAAAGCTGATGAGATTCTTGTCAAAATCTAAATGCCACATTAAGTTCCCTTGTAGCCAATGATGGCATTTGCTGTAATAATTACAAACACGTCAATGAAGAAAAGTTAATAGTAAAAAACATTTCAGAACAAAAGAACCTTTTGTGAGAACTCAGCTCTCCAAAATGCAAGCGCATTCTCTAAATTCAACCCTACACCCTGCATAAGACAAATAATCATCATAAAAATTTGATAAAGTGCAAAGTTCGTTGAACTTCTGAACAAAGTCAACTAAATTAAGTATTTTTCATAAAATATGCAAGTAAATTTAGCAATGATTTTCTCAAATAAATAGCTCAATTTTATAACTCAACTACTACAAATTATGAAACAGAATGCAACATGTTTATAGGCTAAAAGAGCAAAATAAAAGTTCAGTTGAAGAAGGGAAGCATTAGCATTACATCTAAAAATTATGATTTCTTATTAATCGAACAAATGGCTGAAATTTGCCAAAAAAAAAAAAAAAAAAACATGTCACTTAGTGGAATAAAAACACTGAAAATACCAAATGTAATAAATTAATAAACATGAAATAACACTCTTGAATTTGTTAGTTTATATTATTTGAGTCTAAAAATAGGTTAAAGCCATAGAATTTATTAATTCATATATTTGCGTCAAAGTTAGGTCACAGCCATAAAGAGTCTGATCTAAATCCTTTTATGAAATCAATAGATTGTACATTCAATGAACACAGGAAAAATTATTAAGAAAAAAAAGTTCTTCACAAGTTCTTCGTTGAAGAAAATAAACCCAATACCCAAAGGAGACAAGCCAAAAAATAATAGGATGTTCAATAACTAGCTTCAACCCATCCATAATATCATAACTGAACTAAGGTTCAAGGTTTCAAGAAAAAACAACAAACCCGTTACTTTTTGGAAAAAAACTTTAAAAAATAGAAAAACATATGTTTGTTATAAAGTATAATATATGCATTTTCAACCCCAAATCACCAGCAACATGAGCAAATTTAATGTACGAATAAAAAACAACAAAGAGTGAATTGTAGCAAGACTCTAGATTGCAAGCATAAGCCGGAGCATACAAATCTGCATGCCTTAATGTCTACATGGGTGTACATATATATAAGATGCTATTCATATTATGGGATCAAAAACAATAACTTCAGAAACATATTGAACTTTGAAATATTCAAAATGATAGGCTAGGATTTTAGGTGTTAATTTATTATCTCATACCAAAGTAAATTACCAGACAATGATGCCTGTGCCTTTGCTATTTTTAGGAGAAATGGTCTTGGAGTTGTGCAGACCAATCATCCCTCAACTTAGAGTAGGTACGAAATTCAAAATTAAGAGGTGCCCTTCATCTTCAAGAAAGCATGTCAAGGCCGGGCCCATCAACCTAACCTCTTCAAGGACCTACGAATCATGGCTCCAACAAATGATCATTACCTAAGGAAGTACTTTGTTTGATATTCTCATTGATGCAACCAAAGAATAAGGGGAAAAAATGGGATTTGCTTATCCTTTTTCATGGGTCATATTCACCATTATTTCATCATACTTGAGAGGGTTCTAGGTTCTTCGTCAAAGCCATTCATGTTGGTCATTGCCAATGGCTGAATCTTTAGAGTAACGTTACTTCAAGCTCTCATTATGGTAAGAAGTGATTTCCTTCATACATGTAGTAATTTTTTGAGGCGCTTACTTCTTAGAATTTAAGGACTTCGACTATGGATCTAAAGGAGCAATCATCATTAAGGGCATGAAGGCTATTTTCTTCTTGAACAAAAAGATTTTATCCTCAGAAATGTTCTCTGCCTCCCATTCACATTTTGATCCCATGAGAAAAAAAAATTTCTATGCATATTTTGTTAGGAAATGTAGAGGTGAACAAATTTAACTTCTCACACATAACCGTTCATTAATTGAACGAGTGGTTAAGTGAATATTTGTTCAATGTACATACAACATTAAGGTTGCTTTATCACGGTTTTAAAATGAGCTTCCTTTCTTGATATTAACCAAGAACTGTAAATCACCCCGATTTGGATAATTTTACTTTGTTTGAAACTTATTTTATGAACCATAAGGTGCTTTTTCCATAGAAAACATATTCAAACAAATATTGTGAATTGATATAGCTCTTGCTAGTATTTTTAGATTGCTTTTGCTTGTGTTCTAGTTCAAAATGGACATTTTGAAAAACAAGGACTCTAAATGCTTGATTGGCTCCCTTAAACATTAAGGATAATTACATGTATAGCATCAGAAACTTTGTTATTCATAAAACTAGTACCATTATCTTTTTGAACTTCCGAATTGGTGCATTTATACATGCCACTATCAAATAATTGCAAATTTATAAAAAATGAAAAATATAGGTCGACTTTAATCTTAAATTTTATAATTTGTGTGAGAATTTAAAAAACGGATAAATGAGGGTTCTAGTATTGCAAATAGCAAAGTTTCGAGTGCTATGTATATAATTGCACAAAAAAATTAATATTTACAATACGTTGATTTATAAAATTTTGCTTAAACATTATACTCAGCAATATTGTTTTGGGCCAAATATTGAATGTTTCAAACTCTATCAAAAAATGAAAATGAAAAATTCCAAGGCCATTAATGGGTAGCAAAATTCTCTACATAAGAAGTAAAGCTCTAAAATACTTAAAGGAATTTCACAGAAAAGAAGGTAATATCATAAAAATTAGTAGAGGCAAGGACAACAGAACAATGTGATCATCTAGTCTTAGTATTGTTAATGCTAATGATTTGGAATTTTAAAGGCAACGCCAAAGCTTGATCAAGAAAAAATACATAGAAACATGAAATAGGAGAATGAGACAGATTTTAAAACATCATGTCAATGAGAAGAAAATATATTTTGTTTGTGCATCAATAAGCCTTATCAAGCAAGAAGAAATCTTAGTTGCCTCCAAAGACTTGAATTGCTGGCAAAGAATGCTATCATTTGATTTATCGTGTTGCACCAATAATCCATGGATCTCTTGTAGTACATGAATTATGAAGGTGATAAAAAATAATCCTGGACTACAAGATTTCTTCTTTATATGAATGTATGTATGTATGTGTGTGTGTGTGTGTGTGTGTGTGTCAACTATGATTTCTTCTTGCTTGATAAGGCTTATTGATGTACGCACACACACACACACAGACATATATACATACATACATACATACACACATACATACACACACACACACATACATACATACATACATACATACATACATACATACATACATACATACATACATACATACATACATACATACATACATACATACATACATACATACATACATAGATATATAGATAGATAGATATAGATATACAGAGAGAGAGAGAGAGATAGACATTATGTTTAGATCCCAATGAGGACATACTTGCCTTGGTGACACCATTATGAGAGTGCCTTGTAAAAAAAGAGGTCCTTGTAAAAAAAAAACTATATAAAAAAATCACATACAAAAAAAAAAACACTTTGCCCACATAAAGTACACAAAAAAGTAAATATTTGTATGATTACAGGGTGTTAATCCTCACATGAAATAAATATGAAGCAAGTTTTCCCAAAATGTTCAAACGGTGGTGTTTCGTGGCACACCAAACTATTAAAAAATAACCAAGATCTAAAGTTTGCGAACTTCAACCAATCAAATTGTAAAGTTGCAACAACCTCGCAACTCAAAAACTAAGACCAAGGTAAAGGTAAACTTGATATGCCCAACCCAAATACAACTAAATTATGAAAAACCATACTTACCAAACAAAAAAAATGATCATAATAAGAAGGCGCTCATTTCATAAGTTCGAATATCAAAGTTAAAAAATTCAGTCTCTCAAGCTCAATATCTCAAGCGGCCCAATTCAAAGCCATCTTCTCAAAAAGTTGACAAGCCAAGGTAGAACCGTGGAAATTCCCTTTGCTCAAATTGGCATCAAGTTGAGAGGAGTATTATTACCGATGGTATAAGAAGTTAAATCACCAGTTCTACTTCCTTCAACAAATGTACAGCATCAATCAAAGACTAGAGAAATGCATGCATCCCTTTAATAAGTTAAACAAAGCACAAAGAAAGGACTAATGTTATCAACAATTCCATCGATAGAAGACCCTTTATCATTGAACTAATATAAGAATCAAGAGTTCAGTAGCACACATCATTTGTAAAGCCAAACATAAAATAAAGCATAGGATAGAAGGCATGTTAATTTCATTTGAGTCTCTTTGACGGCCAACTTACATAAATCATTAACCAATACATAAACTAATAAGAGTTGTATAGAGGAACTGCCTCCATGTAGTTCAATAAACACTTATGTCTAAATTGGATTCATTACCATTGAGTCAATCATGAAAAATGCATCAAATTGATATACACCTCAGGATTGATGGGGAGTTTCAGTAGAAAACACCTAGTTATGAAGACTCTATAGTTAATGAGAATATTGTACTTATTTATCCATTATACATTTGATAAATAAGACACAACAGAGTTTTACCTTATAAAAGTACAAAAGTAATGAAATCCATACCATTGGGAAAGCAATCCTAAAGAGGTAGCAAAAGGAATTCCTTCTTGAGATAGATGATACGAATTCAATAGAGGGATGGATAAAATGGGAAAAAATCATTTATGGCACATCTATCAAACAACCTAACCGTGAGTCTCCAAAAAATGCAGCTCTAATAGAAAGGTCCTTTATTCAAAATTTATTGAAGTAGATTGTATGAACTTTGGGTAATTTTTTTTCTTGCAAGAGATGATCTTCATTGGCAGATGAAGAAGATCAATATAGCCTTATTCTTCTTGTAATTACTTCCTCAAGGCTCATTGATAAAATTAGGGTTTAGATTATAAAGGGTTCAATGGCTAAAACATATTAAGAATGTAAGGTTAGAAACTTACTTGGGTAGAAGATAAATAATATGGTCTTTCATTTATTTTTTGTTTCATGAAATGAGAATAGCCAAATTGCTTCCCAATGAGAGAAAAATGGATGCATTGACTTTATTTGGTGAAGAGGATGTAGTTTTGAGAAATTGTAATTTGGCAAAAATACTTGAAAAAAGGGACATACAAAATTAGGTATATTACGTTAGTACTTAATAAAATTTAGTTAGATATTATTTCCATTTTTTTTAAGAGTGAAAA